CGGCGCAGCCCCTTCCCCCGGAGCCCGCCTTTCATCTCCCCGCGCCTGGCGCCTGCCCGCAGCCCTGGCCCGTCTACAGCCCCCTCCTCTGCCCCTCCCCCGCCACCTCCGAGCCGCCGGGATCCCGCGATCGCTTTTATTTGGGGTGGGAGGGGACGGTTGGTTTGCTTTGCCGGAGCCGCGATCTGTAAGCCGCGCTCCACAGTTTGCAAAGAGCGTCCGTGGACTTCCTACACGCGCGCGCGCGCGCCGACTCCGAACAGGGCCCAGGTCCATGCTAAATGCCAAGGGGAGCTCCGCTGAGTGGAGGGCTGAGGATCTGCGCGCAGACGCTGTGCCGCCGCGCGGCTGAGCCCTGGGTTTTCCACTTCCTACCTGCGCAGGGTCCTTAACTCTTATTGCTCGCTTTAGACTTGCCATCTTTAATGTGGGGAGGGGGGAGGGAGGAAAATAATCTCTCTCTCAGAGCAGTGTTTTGGATAAAGTAAATGAGGTCCTTGAAGTCCAGAGACAAAATTCACTGTGCAGAGTTGGCATTAGTGATGTCTAAATTCCGACTGGAACTGCACTTGTCTGCTTACAAACACTGCAGTCCGGTTGAGTTCACCAGGAACGACTGGGCTCGCTCCAATTTCCAAGGCCAGCCTTCCGCTAAGGGACTACACACACCTTTGCAGGCAGACACATAGTCAGCCACAGATATTTTACAAAGAATACACCTACAACTCCAGCAAGTCAGATATAGCTGCTCAGTTTGGACACTGGAGCAAAGAACGCACTCAGTAAATTGTTATTGCTATTAAAAGGCAATAATGGTTTTTATATATTCAACTCCTACGTCTTCTAGTTACTTTGTGTAGCCTATTTAAATGTAATTATCGCAGAAACCTAGCCAGGTAGGGATTATTATCTCTCATTTCAGAGATTAAAAAAACCCCAACAAAACAAAAAAAACCCACCCAACACAAAAACAGGCTGACGGAGGCGAAGAAAGGAGCCCAAGGTAACGCCGCGGGGAAGAGTTGAGTAAAGAAAAATTCTGAAAACTCTGCTGAAGCAGGAGATGGGGCTTTCCATAAAGAATTGCCTTGTGGTTGGACCCTTTTCCTGGCAGAAGTGAGACCCTTCACGGAAATGTCTCCACCCCAGCAGGGAGCTGCGGAGGGAAGTAGGAGAGGCTTGCTGCGTACTTCCCTCAGAATCTACCTCGTTCTCCCATTTAAAATTTGGCAATCTAGCTTCAGATGTTAGCTCTTTTTAATCGCTACGATTTATGATGTTATGATTTCTATTGCCCGAACATCAAGACCCAAGTGTAGTACAGAGACCCTGCCTTCTTCTCCTCCAGGGATTATTAAAATGAAGAAACTCTGTCCGCAGGGTAATTTTTGATGACTGTTGTTTGTTTGGGGTTTGTTTTTCAATTTCCCTGAAATAATCTCGAGTGTTTCTAAACGGACAAATAACAACAATGAGTTTTTAGGAACATTGATAAAACGATGGCTGGGTCTAGCCTAACTGAAATCTGAACACTTTGTACACGTTAGCAGCTGAAAGCTAAACGAATTTCAAGTTTCTTTCCAGTCTGTATACAAAGCCTTCACTTTGCCTTGTACTTCTGGAAGGCACAGACCTTAATCAGGATTTACCTGTACTGTATTTGAGATGTGTATCAAGCCAATTGTCATCAAGTATGACTCAAGGGGAAGCATACACATCTCTAGATAGCTTTAACTTTTTTTTTTTTTTTTTAACTTTCCCTGAGTTTACAGTTGGTAAGAAAATATGTTTGTTCTGTGTGGTGGGTGAAGCACTTGAACGATTCAGAGGGCAATATTTAGGACTTTATTTTTAAAATTTATTCAGGACCCACTCAGAAGCTAATTGACTTAATTAGCAGCAAAGATTGATTTCATCTTTTGAGGTGTAGATACTGCTTTTTCCATTTCTTTTATTCTAGGCAGAGTTTTGGGGTGAAGGTAACCTCGGAGAAGTACTCTGCATGTGCTAGTTTATAGGTCTGTAATTTGAAGGTCAAGTTTCTAAGACTTTTGGAACAGATCCTGGGAAGTAGCTGATAAATGTGGTCATTTAAGTCATTAAAAGCAATACCCTTCCTTCCAATGTTCTAGGAACTGTTCAGCAATCATCTGCCATAGGTGTGGAGGCCCTGAGCTGGATGACTCACAATTTATCTCATAACTTGCAGGATATTCGTTCAGATAAAAGAAAAAGCAACTGTCGTCTGGGAAGTCATTGGAAAGTTGTGTCCTGGCCCTGAGGCCTGAAAAGCCAACTGTCTAGATATCTGAGGCCTCAGTGATCTCAAAGCGGCCTCTCCTCTCCCTGGTACAGAGTGGGATCATCACAGTAGCTTTGGGACATAACTGAGGGAAAGGGTGGCAACCTCTCAAGGGACAAAAACCTGCTTTTCTCAGAAAAAAGACAGAGGCCTGGAATGAGCAAATTAAAAAATTTGTAATCTCTTTTTGAGATTTGCAAGGGAAAAACAGGCGGTCGTGGATCCTACTCGGGCTGGTCTCCTCGTCCTTATTAACCTGGAACGCAAACACTGGCACCTAAACACTCCTGACAAGCACAAACACACGCACAAAAATACGCATTTGCACTCAATCTAAAGGGAAAAGATGGGGGATCCTGATCCTACCTGCCAAGGAGATGCAGGAAAAAGAAAACATGGAGAGTTCAGGTTTTTATGACAGTGCTGGTTTTGTCTTCTTGTGGAAGCAATGAGAGCGATTTGATTGAAATTCTCCAGGCCGGATTAATTGGGAGTCTAATTAATTGCAGATGCTCCCACAGGTCACTCATTTTCTAAAGCCAGTAGTGATATTACTGGCCTTCGCTATTGATTATTTGATACAAGACACTCTTTCTAAGCTCTATGCGTGTATTATTTCTTGGCCCATGTTTTTCTATGCTTGGCTCCTAAAGTGGTCAGGTTGGCTCAGTTTGGGTGCATAGTAGGAGTTAATAATTTAATGCTGAGTAAATTAATGTCAGCTGCTGTTTTTAGCGGAGGTCTGGGGGAGTGGTAAGGGGCACTGAATACTTTTTAAAGAGGGGTCAGAGAGATAAGAAATAATACTCAGCGAACTTCCTCTTTAACTAATCAGCATTAATTACGCCTTGGACTTTTCAGTTTTGGTGTGATTATAACCCTTGAGGGATCTCCTAATAACAGCTCTGCTGACTGCGCCTGTAATTAACTCCTAATTTATTTCAAACAGAAAAAAAAAAGAAAAAAGGACCAGCCTCTTTCGGGGCAGCCAATAGGAAGCGAGTACCTGTGGCGTCAGCGCCAGGGCAGGCGCGGATTGGCTGGGCCTGTTCTCCACTTCCCCTCGGAGGAGAGGCTGCGTTCGGCGCGCCCCTCCCGCGTCCCCCCCCCCACCCCCAGGAAAAAGTTTGAGTCGCTGCTGCGGGATTGCGAGCAGAGTCGCTGTCCCGAGCTCCGTGGAGTAGAGAAGTCATGACTTCTCCGTCCAAAGGCAACGACCTGTTTTCATCGGATGAGGAGTGCCCAGCGGTAGTGGCTGGGCCGGGCCCCGGGCCTGGGGGCGCCGAGGGGGGCGCCGAGGAGCGCCGCATCAAGGTCTCCAGCCTGCCCTTCAGCGTGGAGGCGCTCATGTCCGACAAGAAGCCGCCCAAGGAGGCGTCCCCGCGGCCGGCCGAAGGCGTCTCCGCCTCGGCCACCGTGCGGCCGCTGCTGTTGCCCGTGCACGGCGGCGCCCGGGAAGCGCACAGCCCCGGGGCGCTGGTCAAGCCCTTCGAGACCGCCTCGGTCAAGTCCGAAAACTCGGAGGACGGAGCGACGTGGATGCAGGACCCTGGCAGATACTCGCCGCCGCCCAGTGAGTGAGCGCCGGGGAAAGGGGTGCGTGGAGTCCTGGAGGGAGCTGGGGACCTGATGCCACGCTGGGGGTACCGAGACCCTTTTGCACTCTACTTCCTGGAAGGCGAGGCACCGATGTGTGGACTCCTCGCTCTCTCAGGATGATGCGGGCATCCTCTGAGAGACCCCTGGACTCCTGATCTGATCCCCTGGCTGCTTGCTGGACTAGCTGGGCTTTGATGGGTGACCCCCAGCTGGGTTTACTGGCTCAGGAGGTTGAGGGTTTCTCGCATCCTCAACTCTTCAGGCCCTTGTCATTTACTTTTTTTTTTTCTTTTTTTTTTTTTTTGCTTTACTGTCCCTCCGGGTCTCTGGCAAGTGAGGGGACTCAGGTGAGGAGAGTGCTTAAAGATGTAGCATTAAACAGAAGAGTATGGAAAAAAAAAAAACTGAACCACACTGCCATGAGCACCGCATTTTAAAGGCAAGCTAATTGAAGTCTGATCCGACACTGGAGAAACTATGGGTTTCCCCATGACATCTGCACATGTTGAAGTCAGAGTCCAAAAAGAGATGAAAGCAGAGACAAATGCTCCAAAGGCATGTTTCTGTGTGTACGTTGCACATCCAGCCTTTCGCTCTCGAGGTTCGGCGCTTCGCTGCGCGCGGGCTAGGATCTGAAACGCGCAGGCTGAACTTGCCCCATAATAGTAATTAACAATATTCTCATAACTGGAGACTTTGCAAAGCATTTCGTGCTCATTAGTGCCTTCGATCAAGGCCCGGAAATTTGAATTTTAAGGAGTACAACAAGGCTTATATCTTCTTTTTCATATGTGTATAAAACTTTGAAGGGACCGAACTTGGTGTCCCAAATTTCTAACAACTGCTGGAATGGGCTCAGGAATTTGGGTTCCAAGCTCTGGCCTGTTGAGTGGCCACTTTCAATCCCAGTGTACAAGAGAGCTAGTCTGAGACCCCCAAACCTCAGCTCATTTCCTCTTGGGTGAGGCCCAGAGAACCTGTTTAGGATTTTGCAGTTTAGGATACGATTTTCAGGTGTTTGGGCCTTTAATAATTTGGAGAAGTCATTTATTTCCGGTCGTTCTTTCGACTGCTCTATCTTGGACTTTAATATCTGTGGCCCAGACCTGGAAAAGGTGAGAGCGGGACCTTCTAAAAAACTCACAGAACCACACCTTTCTCCTTTTCCATCATTCAGGACTCAAAGCCTTGAGACGCACAGTATTTTGGGAAAAAAACTAGACCATATATACCCAGCGTCAGCGGCTGTCCCCTCTGGCAGCGTCTGTTAGAAACTGAAAGACTCAAAGGGCGTGGAGATTAAGGACTCAAAGAATTTAAATTCAAGTTTGCGCAGTGCTTTTACAGCCCTCTTCCCCACATTATCTTATCTGATCTCTGTTGTGGTCCCTTCTCTTAAACAAATGAGGGCTGCAGAGTTCAGAGGAATGGGCCAAAGCTGGGTTTGGGCTTGACAAAAGACAGAAAGAACATTTAATGAGCACCTATAGGTGGCAGACAGGACTTTGAGCTCTCTCTCATCATTTCAAATATAATTCTTCAAACCATAGTGAGAGAATTAGAATGTTCTACCCATTTTATGGATAGTGAAATGCTGAGGAACACTGAGTGACTTGTTTAACAAATAGTGGTTAGGCATTCTTAGGCCAGGGGCCATGCCCAGGGTATATCCAGGGGCATTTGCAGGTCAGAAGAGCCTGTATGTAAGACAGTAGTCACTTAGGCTATAAACTTCTCTGCATGCTACCTCAATCTCTCCGACCCTGGTCCCTGAACTTTACATTCTCCAAGAAGAACCTGAACGTTTGAGGAAAGATTTAACACCAACAAATGCTTCTTGTTGGTGCTTTGAGTCTGTGGAGGAGGCAGCAGGAGCGCTGTGGTCTGGGGCTGGGGACTAGGAGAGCGCCAAGTGACAGGGCCTCGGGCGGGCGGAGGGAGCCATCCGCCTGGGCCTGGTTTTGTTAAGCGGAGGAAGTAGGATAAATGCTGTTTTGCTTTCTATAATCGCATCCTTCCTCTGGCTGATTTAGAATGGGGCTAGGGGGAGCGCTGGGAGGAAGCCTCTAGCTTTACGGCTTTGATTCACATGTGCGATTCCCCAGTCCCAGGATTTCATAACTCCAATGCAGCCCAGAGAAGGCGCCTGGATTACCCTGCCCGGGCAAGGAGATGCTTCCAAACCCCTATGTAGAGTAGGAGCGAATGTAGACACCAGGAACTCTGTGTGAGTTGAGGCACCTGGGCCCTCTGTGAAGGCAGAGACTTTTTTACAGATCTCCACTTTGACTTTATTTGTAAAGGAAGTGTCCCTATTTAGATAGGAATTAGCATATTCAAAATCTAGGCGTTCTTTCTTATGCATTCCTTTCACCAATTGTGAGGGGGTGTGTGTGTTTTGTTTGGTTATAGAACAAACTTGGCTTTCCTTTTGAGTTTCTTAGTGATAGTTAATCATTTGAGATTAGGACAGGGCCATCTTTTCTTGGATTTGGAGGCCAGGTTGGAACCTGAGCTGTAACACCCTCAAATATGAAGTGTAAACTCTTTCTTGGGCCACCAAAGTAACAAAACAAGAAATGTGACATTCTCCCCTTGAGTACATTGGAATTACTACCGTGGCTACATTTGGAAAATTAGCATAGCTCATAAAAGCCAAATGCGGAAAATTAATTGTTGAGGATTCTATCCCCATACCTCCTTGGCCTCATCAAGGAAGAAACAAGCTGAGGGCTGGTTGAGGCTGTAAAATCACATGGGATGCCCTAGCCCTGTGACATCCCGTAATTGAATCCATTTTAAATTTGGAGTCTGGATGCCATTGCTAGGACTTTATTCTGCTTGTTACTCCCCCTCCTAAATTCTGGCGACAAACTAATGATTTACACATTTGCTCCCAAACCATAGAATGGGGAGAGGAGATGACTAAGATGTCATCACATGCTCTCAATTCAGAGGCAGGCTGATTCCCCTGACATTTACATTTATGGGCGAGCTAATTTCTCCCTCCTTCTCAGTAAAGTTTATATTACTGCAGCACCCGGCCAAGAAACTTACCCCACATACAAATCTGTACAATGATGTCCAGGTTTTATAATCTGTAGACAGGATGGGATGACAGATGTGTGATTGTTTACTGCATGGAGCTGCCCCCAAATCCAAAGATGCTATTAATTCACTACAGACCTTATCTGCATCACTATCCTTCATTACTAGGTTGAAGCCACTCAGTTTATACTAGTTCAGAGCGACGACTGAGGGAAACCAGAGTAGAAGGCCCTTTCATTTGCCTTCTGTGTGGTTTTCCAGGACCCAAATGCAATGGACATGATCATAATACTCCCTCATATTTTAACGATAAAAGAAGTTCCGTTCCCAAGGGAGAGGTGGGGTTTTAGTTCTCAGAGAATACTCCCTCTAACCTTGATTCATTGGAGAAAGAAAATTCATCTTTCTCCAGTATTGTTGATGTTAAAAGTTCTATTAAACTATTAAATTCTTTCTTGTTCTTTAAACTAGCATATTTTTAAAGCAAGTTATCCACTTAAATATGGCCCTTCGCTATCCCACCTCTGGCCTCAAATAAAACCAGTTTTGACAGAGGCGACTTTTTTAGTCTTAGTGCCTGGTTGTTGGATGGCACAAACAGTAACCTGAAGGTAGTGGTTCAGACCCACCCAGAGGCTCCTAAGGAAAAAGTAATTTTTTTTTTAAAGTCACAGCCTTGAAAACGACATTTCTACCTTGGCACGGATACACATGGGATTGCTTTGAGTTGGAAACAACTGGGTTGGTTTTTTGTGTTTTACCTTTTTTGAAAGATGAAACAAATAATGTCTTCTTAAGTAAATGTTTTCAGTTAAGAGGGAAGACCTGGCATGTACCAAAAAGGAAAGAAAAGCTACATTTCTCTAATTAATACTCTAATCTCTTGTTTTCTAGGACACATGAGCCCAACCACCTGCACCCTGCGAAAGCACAAGACCAATCGGAAGCCTCGAACACCCTTCACCACATCGCAGCTCCTGGCTCTGGAGCGCAAGTTCCGGCAGAAACAGTACCTCTCCATTGCAGAACGCGCTGAGTTCTCCAGCTCTCTGAACCTCACAGAAACCCAGGTCAAAATCTGGTTCCAGAACCGGAGGGCCAAAGCAAAAAGGCTGCAGGAAGCAGAACTGGAGAAGCTGAAAATGGCTGCAAAACCCATGCTGCCCTCCGGCTTCAGCCTCCCTTTCCCTATCAACTCACCCTTGCAAGCGGCATCCCTCTATGGAGCATCCTACCCTTTCCATAGACCTGTGCTCCCCATCCCACCCGTCGGACTCTATGCCACACCAGTTGGATATGGCATGTACCACTTATCCTAAGGAAGACCAGATCAATAGACTCCATGACGAACACTTGTTTTTGAAAGAGTTCCTGTCTCTGAGCAGGCAGTACTACCACTGCAAACCCTGCCCCTTGCACCACCTTAAGTAGCTGTGCTGACAGGGCCCCTCCATATAGTTTGAATCCATGCTCCTGAGGCTGAAGACACACACCAAGCCCTGCATCCTTGGTGTACTCTACTAGATGCCTCTCCCGTTTCCTGCCTCCTGTCACAAAGATTGGCGCTCTGACAGTTTTTATATATAAGTATATATATAATAA